AGCCCCGCACCCCCGCTCGCCCCCACCAGGCTCCGCGACCTTCCGGGGGACCGAGACGACCCTGCCCTGCGAAATGCAAAGCAAAAGCAACTTGCCATGGCGGAGGAGAGGCGCCCACGGCGGCGGCGGGGCCGGAATCCAGCGGGGCGCGGGCTGCGGGGCGCGCGCAGGTTTGGGTTTCGGTTTCGGTTTTATTTTCTCGCTCGCTCGGAGACAAAGAGAAACTAGGGCTGCCCCTCCGCCCCACGCGTTGGTCAGCGGCCTCACAGCCTCGGGGTGGGAGCTCGGACCCGGACGGGCTGCTGCAGCGCCGGCCAGGATGCGCTCGGCAGTTTCACAGCTTTTGAAACCCTGCGGGAGTAAAGCCAGAAATTCCCCCTGGGGAATCTGGGGATTCCCGGGGTCTGTCCTGTGCTCAGTGAAAACTGGTCGTCCTTCCAACGCCCTCATTAACCCCCTTCTCACCACAGCACACCAGTGGCTCCTCTTTGTCACCTGCCCAGCCCAGGGCCAGTCGCCGACCACAGCCGCGTGTGCAGGGCACAGAATGAAAAGCGCCCTGGCCCTGCCCGCAGGGAGCTCACCGTCCTGACCGCGCCAAGCTTGGACGCCTGAGTCGGGCACCTGCGGGGACCCAGAGCATCGACGTGCACAGCTTCCAAGTCAGAAGGGCAAATGATTGGCAAATAGGAAGCAGCTCAGTTTCACTCCTAAGTAAAGAAATGCACATTGAAATCATGAGGTCCCTTTTTTCTACAATTAAGATTGGCAAAAACTAAGGTGTGCTAATACCCGGTGTTAGCCAGAGTGTGAGGCAGTGCCAGCGCTGCTGCAAGCCTAGATAGGTGCAAACATTTCTAAGGATTTTGGCCCCTTTCAGAATGTAAAATGAAAAAAAGAAAAAATGCACATTTATTTCCTTAGTTAGCAATTTCACTAAACTTCTTATAGTGCACAAGGGAGACTAAGATATTGTGTAGACACTTTAGTTGTGTGTTACTTGTAATACACATAGTTGTTTTAAAAACTGGGATCCACCCAGTTAAACCGTGAATAAAACTATTTACTATATGGCCAGTGTTACATCTAAGGCTATAAAGATTGTAAAACAAAATGAGATTTATATGTAATTCCCCAATTTATATTTTATCTTCAGATTCCTATACCTAAATGCTCATTTAAATGTCTCATAAGCATGTGAAATTTAACAAGGCCAAGCAGAACTCTCCTTCCTCCCTTTCTTCCCCCTCAGTAAATAGTTGCACTACCCACCTAGGAGCTCAAGTGCATGACTCACTGGTGTTCCTCAATTTCTCTTTTCCTTAGCTCTATTAGTACATTCCGTGAGCCCACAGCACAGCCTCTCCAACTCCACCTCTACCCTCCAGATCAAGTCCCACATCCTGCCTTGTTCCCCTTCGGTTCATTCTAGATACCACACCCAGGATGATTTTATATATATATGTATATGTATATTTTAAGATTTTTAAAAAATTGATTCTTAGAAAGGAAGGGGGAGAGAGAGAGAAACATTGATGTGAGAGCAGAACATTGATTGGCTGCCTCCTGCACGCCCCCTACCGGGGATCCAGCTGGCATCCCAGGCATGTGCACTGAACAGGAATGAAACCAGCAACCTTTTGGTGCACAGCATGATGCCCAACCAACAGCCACACTGGCCAGGGCAGGATGATGATTTTTAAATACAAATCAGCTTTGGGTCCTGTTTAAACACTTCATTGTTTTCCCATTGCACTTTAAATAAAATGTACCTTCCTCACCTGGAAAACAAAACCACCTGATCTGTTTTCTCTGGCCAGCTCTCCCAACACTGTCCTCCCTGCCTCTGTTCCAACTGCACAAACATCTCACCTGGGCGCTCTTCCTGGCCTTGGTTCTATTTCTTGGCCTGGAGACCTCCTGCCTGATCCCCACTCAACTCACTGCTTTCTGTCATTGGAGTCTTAGCTCATATGACCCCTCTTCAGAAAGACTATCTGATCACCCAGTTTAAATTTGTTCCCCCAGTTAATTGTCATTCCATCATCCTGTCATTACATCTTAATAGCACTCACCTCTTTCTAAAAATATCTTCATGTATTTGTTTTTTCTTGCTTGTCCCCCCCCCCATGATAGTTGTTAGTACTGTTCACCAATATGCCTTGTTCTCCAGTCAGTCCCATCGGAGGGATAACCCTTCCTCACTCACTGTTTGAGGTCAGGCATGGTCATATGATTCAGGCAGTCAATGAAATGTGAAAAAAATTGACCTGTCTCATACATTTGGGTGGAAGGATATCATTGCAAGCACTTGAGTCTCCCAGGCTGTCTTCTTTGCCTGGGTGCTCACGTATTGAAGAGAACATGCATCACTGAGCCAACACATAGAACACAATTGCACTAGGGAGTTACCTGGCTGCATCACAAAAGTTACATGAATAAAAAATAAAACTTTGAAGTTTTAAGCCACCGACTTTTTTCAACAATATTACCTAGCATACCCTGACTAATAAATCCCACTGCAGAGATAGAATGCCATGAAAATATTTGCAAATCACATATCTGATAAGGTATTTGTATCCAGAATATACAAATAACTCTTACAATTCGAAAACATGAAGACAATACAATGGGCAAAAATTTAATAGAAATTTTTAAAAATATATTTTTGTTGATTTTAGAGAGACGAAGGGAGAGGGAAAGAGAGATAGAAACATCAGTGATGAGAGTCATTGCTCTGTTGCCTCCTGCACGCCCCCTGCTGGGGATCAAGCCTGAAACCCAGGCATGTGCCCTGACCAGGAATCGAACCTCTATCTCCTGGATCCTAGGTCAATGCTCAACCACTGAGCCATGTCAGCCAAGCTGAATAAATATTTTATCCAAGAAGATACATTAATGGATAATATGCACATGACAATGTGCTCAACATCATTAAAAAAAAATGTAAATTAAAGCCACAATGAGAAACCACTCCCTGACACACATTGTCAAGAATATGGAGAAATGAGAACTCTCATACGTGATAGGAAAGTAAAATGTGACAGCCACCTTTTTAAACAGTTTAGCAGTTTCTTAAAACCTTAAGGATAAGTTTACCATATAACCAAGAAATTAACGCTTAGATAACCGAGTGAAATGAAGACACGTCCAAACAAAGACTGACATGCAAATGCTAATAACATTATATATAACAGTCGTGAAGTGGAAGTAACCCAAATGGCCATCAATTACTTAAAGGATGAGCCAAGTGCAGTTATATGTATATAGTATATACAACGTGACACTATTCAGCAATAAAAAGGAGTGAAAGACTGATACATGCTACAACAAAGATGAAGTTCAAAACATCATGCGAAGTGAAAGAAACCAGACCCAAAGGCCACATGTTGTACAATTCCATTTAACCAGAAAAGACAAGTACATGAAGAGAGAAAGTAGAAAAGTGGTGGCTTGCTGGAGGCGGGAACAAAGATGAACTGCAAATGAACATGAGCACTGTAACACAAGTGGGGATCCTTTCGGGGCATAATGAGGGATCTAGAGTTAGTGGGGAAGCAGATCTACCCATCTGTGCCATTGAACCGAACGTAGAGCAACTCTCAACCTTGTACGTGCCAACTATTCCACCCCACATGTGCTGGCGAGGATGTGCCGCCCGGAAACGTGGTACCTTGGCACACTGCATGTTTCCAAAGGAAGGAATATGAGAGATGGCACAAGCAAGAAGGCTTTCTGACCGTCCCCCAAAACAAGTCATTAAACCCTCCTGTGAGAAATGCCCTCCCTTTCCCCAGAGGGAAGGAGGAGCCTTATCTCCAAACACCAAGGGGCCCAGAGGCCAAACTGAAGGAACAGGCCTTGCTGTTTCCCCTAGTTTACTACACTGAGATACCCCTCCTATCGTTTTTCACTTTCTATGACACGCTTCATCAACCCTAGCATAAAAACACTCGGGTTTAACTCTTCCTTGGGGATTTCATTTCCTTATGAAGGCTCCAGTGTCACATAAAATTTGTCTTAAATAAATTTGTATGCTTTTCCCGTTAATCCTAGTCATTTTAATTCCCAGATCCAGCCATGGACTCTAAAAGGGTTGAGGAAAACTTTTCCCTCTCCTATAGTGCCCAGCTTTCCTTGAGGGAGCATGACTCCGAATGTGGCCATAATAATTCTAGCAGCTTATTACTGAAACTGCATAAAAAAATTTTTTTTTAAAAACATTTTAATCTCTCATAGCCCCTGTTACAGGGCCTCTTATCTCAGTGTACTTGTCTTTGTCTCACAGATTAAGTAAAATCAAATTGGTTGATATTTTCCTAAATGTTTTAAATTTGTGATACCAAAAAACAAAACAAAACCCATTACTTATATCTTGATAGTTATTTACTTTCATAAGATGTGGCATATATTGCGAAGATTTCTAAAACTAGGTTAAAAAGGAAATCATTTTAAAGGAATAATACTCCATGCTGAAAGGGAGCAATGACATAGCCTTTTATTGGACTATTAATAAAAGTACAGACCAATGCTTACCTTTCTAGAAAGCAACTGCAGCCATAAGTATTAATTTCCTTAAAAGAATTGATATCCTTTAACCTGTCAACCTAGCTGAAATAGCGTCAGAACTGCAGAAAAAGATTTGCACACCAAGATAACCCAGGAGTTTATGAATCTCATAGCATTTATAAGCTTGAAAAAACTGGAAATGACCTTAATGGCCAACAATAGGGAAGTAATAACATAGGGTATATTCACGAGATTAAATGTGAAACAGTTGGGGGAAAAAGATGAGAAAGGAAGTCATAAAATGTTTACCACTATCTCTGAGGGGAGATTTTTGGTGATTTTTTTTAACCTCACCTGAGGATATGTTTTTATTGAATTTTAGAGAGAAAAAGGGAGAGAGAGAGAAAAATAGATCGGTTGCCTCTGTACACACCTCGACTGGGGATTGAACTCACAACCTAGGTATGTGCCCTGATCAGAAATCGAACTCACAACCTTTCTAGTGTACAAGATGATGCTCCAATTAACTGAGCCACCCGGCCAGGGCAGGTTTTTGGTGTTTTTTAAAATTATCTTCACTATCCTTTGTGTATTTTCAAGAATGAGCATCTTTTC